GTTGAGATTGTTTGTGATGAGAGTGGTTGAATAAGTGAAACTCAAAGTTGACGTGGCAGTAGAGAAAAGAGTACTGTGCAAAATTAAAGGACTGTTACATTCCTTGTATGAAGCTTGCACCAATATATTCGTTCAAAGCCATACGTTCAAGATATTTTAACAGCATTGCGGCTTTACTTAAGCATACCACAAGTTCTAAGATATAATGGAGTCGTGGCTTACTTCAAAGAGTCCCTTCAGCCACAGGAAGCAAACTACAATATTATATAGTTTGACATGCCAAGAGACTCATGTCTCACATATGACCACAGTGGTTGATATCGCAGGAAGAAACTGATGCATTTCTCAACCTTTCAGGCTATCATTGTTTGCCCCGTTGTGCTGAAGTTTCGATATGTTGCAGTATCTTGCAATGCCTATCTTTGCAACGTCGCACAGCCAATGACATAACACTTCATCATAGAAAAGGACTCCTTTGTCGACGCCGCAGGAAACTCTTATTATATAAGAGAACTGGCTCCTTATATAATCGCCATCTTGAAATGTGACGTCGGTTCATGAAAGTGTTGAAGGAACGATTTCCATAAAACACCGGACGAGACGTAGAGATCCGTCAACATGAAATTCCCAAGGGCGAGGTCAGCCTGACAGGGGAGGAAAAGCAAACAGTCAAATATCGAGGCAATAGACACGCTTGCTGCCGCTGCAATTTTCAATAGCCGGTGAAAAGAGGAGAAAGAGGTGAAATTCTAATGGTTTTATGCTGTTTTATGAACCAAATAATCAGTTTTAATAATCAGATATTCAAATACACACTGATATGCTAAGCGATTCCCAGTTCTTCAAGGCTGCTGTGGGAGAAATTTGTATACTCGACACAAAAAGTGACTTGCAGAGGCAGGACCGGTCAAACAGAAACGGACCGGCAAGTTCAGATATTCACGAAACCTCGCATGCTGGGCAATCGGCACTAAAAAAACTTCTGCCCGCGATAAATGAAACGAGTACTCAACTGTGAAAGGAGCGCAAGCGTTGCCATACGTTGAACACCACATTACGACGAACTAAACAAAAACCGTGGCAACAGGATGCCAAACGAAATACACGCTGAAATGGCGGAATCCCTTAAAAAATGTTCTGTATATTTTATATGGCATTTATAAGTTACATGACTAGCGTTTGTGACAGTTTCTTGGAGGTGCTAACTAACATCGAGTATCATTGAATCGCGGTATTTCACACGCATTCTTCCAAATATCACTACCCAAGAAATTCATCCAGTACCCAATTAGAGTAGCTTTCCCTCAACTTTGTAACGCAATGTAAGCGAGGTATAGAACTGATCTGTTTGAAAAACAATACTTACATGGAGAAGACCCTTTGAATAATTTGTGCAGATATAAGCCATATTGTTGACTCATATGTTATCTGTAATGATTTCCCAGGAAGGCAGTTCCGGAGGTTTTTGGTGAAGATATTTTTAGCTTTCACACTGCTCAAGTTGTGGTTTTCTAAAACTGGTAATGAGCTGGGATGTAAACAGATGAGCGTCAGCGCATTCAAGACGTAAACACATGACGTAAATGGCCAGATGAAATCATAAAAAGCTAAACTAAAAAACCCACTATCCACTTTAATTGTTTCCCGATGTGACTTGAATTTCACCAGTTGACTGCTGAACTGCCTAACGAGTTCTCGGCCATTCCGCCATTTACAGGTTTTGTCTCATTCTACCAGGTTGGTCCTGTTTTATTCAACAGAATATTAGTTCGCTCTCTCGCCCTCACAAAAAACTATTAGTCATCAAATGCTTGATCCAAATTCAGTTGTACAAGTTGTCCCAAAAACTCTACATTTAAAGGTGTGGCGTGGTAGCACAGTACATAAGAAGTATTAATCGGACTCCAGAAATAGCGGGTTCAATTCTGCTGGAGGGCACTCTGTGCTTTAAGCATGAATTTACCACAATCTACTTTAGATCATGGGTGATCAGTCACTGAGGCATTGAACTCACAGCCGATAAACACTGAGTTCTTACCTCGGTCGGCATCACACGACACTCTACCCTGTAAGGTTGACAAATGAATGCCATTCTGTAACATGGAAACAGGGAAATACACGTTCAGCTTGTTTATACGGCTGTAGACTCAGCCTTTTGAAAAATAAGGCACTTCTCACTGATAGCGTAGAACCAATTATCAACACTGTGCCGTCAACCTCATGAAAAGAAGGGTGTCAGAATTGTCTCCTCATGAAAGTGTAAAGAAGATCGACATGCCAACGGTTACAAACCTCCCTGCCCGTTTCCTTAATTAAAAGGAAAATGTAAATTTAGGTAAACATTTGAAGGTTCACCGTGTCGTCAGTGTCGCCACAACATTGAGGTAGTATTGAGAAATATGTTGATAAGTAAAGAACTCAGTGCCATGTGTTTGTGTGAATGTCGACCAGTGAAAAAGACTGTGACGTGCGTGAGTGTGCATATATCGAGACAGTCGCGAATTCTGAGGTTCCACGAAGCACCATAAATCTAATGAAGGTATTTCACTTCAAATCTTCTGTCGATGTCAGACGAAAATATTTTGTGCAGGATGCACGAAGGAAATCAGAACGACTGGTTGCGCACCACGAGAGCGTGGATTCAGCGTGACAGAGTGCGTTTGCCGATAAACACTTGTTCAGGCTTCTGATTCTTGGTACATAGGCATACACATGGTTGTTTGAATGATTCATGGGGCACATGGTTAAACAGACTGAGCACAATTGTCTGCTTTAAAACATTTATGTCCAACAAGCAAACAATGCCAATTTTTCAATTGGTTTGTCACAGACGGTCAAGACGTTGTCACACCGTTTGAACAAATATGATGCACACATTAAAATCAATCAGATCTGTGTCATCGAATCCTTCCAGGCTTCACTAATGGCCACAGGAGGTGGATATTAGTTGCGCAGTATAACCGAGGACTCCTTTATCACCAGACTTAATTTACACCGGTCTTTGTCTATGACAGACCTATTGGTTTCACCGAAAGAATGGCCTTCAGTAATCGCATGCTGCGCACTGCCAGAACAGTAACCCAGTCAGGTTGCTCAGTAAATTGTCTGAAGAAACAATCGAAAAAACCCACCCCTCATTAGTCAGCTGAGGGTACGATTTACGTCGCCTTGCATTTCGCTCGTAAGCTGAAAGAAAAGCTATACCTTATTGCATCTAAAGCCGGCCCGAGCATTGTGTGTAAACCTGACACGATGCTTCGCAGCCGTCTCAGCCATCTGAAGACCAGAATATCGCACCGACGGAGACAAGGCCGGGTGTAGAGGCTCTTCTGCCCACGTGGTTCAGGGTAAATCGATGAAAAGGACAATGTTATGAGTGAGAGAAGGAGCTTCAGCAGAAGGAACAATGGGATGCAAAAGAAAGAAAAGAAAAACAAGATTCTAGAGGAAGGAAGCAAACTAAAGTTCTCAAGGTTATCAAAGCGAAACATCGAGAAAAAAGGCTCAGCTCTAGCATAATGTGCCGCAATCCATCAATATACGGTGTCTTTGGATACGAAGAGGGGTTTCGTGAGGGAAAAACAACATTTCACCCATAAAATCAAAGAAGCATCAAAGATCCGCGCAACCAACTGCATCAATGGTGTCCTTGGCTCAGATATCAGCGACACATGGACCGAAAATATCACACGGTTGCTCAGGACGAACAGCAAACACAGGCCTATTAATCATACGCGTCAATCTGACCTGCTTGAAACTTCATCCGTGCAAATACCATAGTTAGTGTGAAGAAGGACTGTGTCTGGTCCGATGCATCAGCATCTGTAATAATTAAAACGTTTATTCATTATTATCATATCTATATCTTACCTACATACAGTTCATTTATTTATTCATTTATTCATTCATTCGTTCGCTTATTTCTTTATTCATTCATTCAATCCTTCATTCTTTCGTTTGCTTTTGCTTTCATTTTTGCTCTTTTTTCATGTGCTTCGTGGGAGCAACAGCTTCTAATCGTCTTAAGTGATCAACGTCTCGGATTCAGAGGTGCAACAATGCAGAATTCTTCATATCTTAGAGCTATTTTATCCTTAGTCTGTCAATTGCTAATGAGCCAAGT